GTCACAGTATGTATATTGGTCAATAAATATGTGTGTGTTTGTAGAGCTGTGTTTTTGTGTATCTGTTTTTGTGTGTGTATGTATATTTATATATATATATATATATATACGCACACACACACACCGGTATATATACTGAGCCTTTTTGCATTGTAGCATCATATGGTAAACTAGGTAGCTCAAAGTCGAGCTCTATTATTATTTTTTTTATTATTGACCAATATCTTTAAATAGTATACTTAATAACAAAAAATAAATTAAAAAACAAAAGCAACACTGATTTTAGGCTATCCTTCTGATTTGGACACATTTTGTCCAAAGCTTTGCATTTTTTATGGTTTTGTCTTTGAATATTAATTAGAATTTCCAAGAATTTACAAGTAAGAAAGAAAGCAAACTCCATGATTTGAGTCTGGGTCTACATTTACAGCTTTGTTCAACACATATGTCTGGCTGTGTAGCGGGACATTTACTTGTAATGAGATGCAGAGGATCCATGGACGGAGTTTCGACTCTTCTCCAGCACCAGAACATCTTGACCATGCTCCTTCAGACGGACAGTGTTTGCCTCCACATCCTCCACAGCACACACACAAAAACACACAAGCACATAAAGTTAATACATTAAAGAGACTTTTCATTTTGTAGAGAAATGTCCACTATACATGCTAACAGATCATGTTTTATAAACTTGTTTAAATCTGGATAAAGGCTTACATAAACTTTTTGCACACAAAAAAACCACAATTAATACAAGTGATCTTTAAACATCAAATAACAATCGTTTTAATATTCTATCGTCTTTGAGTGAAGAAATAAACATTACTGAAATATGATGATGTCATTACATTTAAAATGTGCTCAATTGTACAAATATGTTTTGTTGTGAGCATGTATCTTCTATTTTCTTTGTTTGATGCTATGATTTCCTTTAAATAGTAAAGTATGTTTTGACAATAAAAGTATATTATATTATATTATAAGAGTCCTCGAGGCTCAATGGGATTTACCTGTATAAATAAAGGTTGATTGATTGATATTTAAAAGAATAAAAAGGAAACATTAGGTTAAATTCTGAGGCATCTGCAGCGCATCAGTCATGAACGTTTTATTTAGTTATATTTGACTTTTAGCAGTAAACATTTTATTTGGCATCCCAGATGGAAGTTTTCCACACAGCAAATTTGCATCTGCAGCTAATCAAGTCCAACAGACGGGTCATTATAAGCAACTTATAAAGCTTGAACGTTATTTAAGACTTATGTTGGTGTAGATTTTTAGCCTCACGTGGAAATAAATGCTTTAGAAATAGGCAACAACAGGAAAGAATGTCCAGTTACCTTTAATTCAAGCGCATAAGATCATTTTTGAAAAAAGTGCATTTTGTGTTGCAGTGTTCCATAAATGCCAGCAGGGGGTAGTAGAGTCATATAGGGTTATTAAAACTATACCAGTTAACCTGAAACCCACCCTTAAAATCCTGTTGAAGTCGTCTTTGTCCACTCTTAGGAAGTGACAGTTGTCCTCTCGCAGGACGATGGAAGCAGCACGGGGAGCGTCGTTGACGAGTGCCAGCTTCCCAAAGTCATCTCCTTCATGAAGAGTGCACACCACACCCTGTGCAGGAAAGAGTACGGATCACTTATAGAGTCAAAACCCTGATCAGAGAGACAAACTGTCTTTAAAAATATACTTACTTTCCCATAGATGACCACATTGACTGAACCCTTTAGAATAATGTACCAGGATGTGCCCTCCTCCCCCTGGTTGAACACTGAGGTTAGATGAACAAAACAAGCTTTAGTGGTACCCTAACCTAATAATGATGATCATTATTTAATGATCACCAGGTTGACGATGATTAAACTTACACACAGTCCCTGCCTTTGAGTGGGACTCAAAGATAAGAACTCCAGCCAGTTGTCTCTTTACCTGTGAACACAAAACTTTGAGTTAACACACAGATATTCAGACCACTACAAAAGGAGTACGAGTAATAAAAACATGTATACGGGTGTTTTCTTGTCACCACAAAAATGTCTGATTAGAGCTCAAAACCTCACGTCTGCACACAAAATGCAGACGTTGAACTCACGCTGGTGGACAGGTGAGATAAGGCCTTTATGTGCAGCAGCTCTTCATAAATGATCTCCAACTCATGTGCTGTCCTTTCAGAGAGACTGGAACACAGGAAACTTGTTACAAACAAACCCAGTCGCTATGTTTAGCTTTAGGTTTAGCTGCTTGAAAGCCGTACGGTTTCCTCAGAATCATCCTCATAAGGGCGTCCGGTCCAATCTGTGAGAGGAAGAGCAGAGTGTCCTGCAGCTTCTCCTGGCTCTCCCTCCTCTCCTCCTCGTTGGGGACAGGAGCGTCCTCCTGCTCATCATCCAGGAAGCGATAGAAGAGGTACTTGTCCTGGAAACTCGTCTCTCCATCCACTGTGTGGCAACAGACAGCAGGACTCGGCTGTAAAAGCTGCGAGATGTGCTCACCGGTGGATGTAAGTGAGTCTCACCGTGGTTCAGAGTGCCCTCCTCCAGCAGCACCTGCCACATGCCCACAGCCTGAATACGAGAGAGGACACAGGAGCTGTGCTGCATCTGCCAGTCGACCATCTCTGTCCCCACACAACACTGCCTGGGAAGATTCAGAAATACTTCTTTAGGTTTAGGCTCACTCAGTAAACATAGTTTTCTAAGTCATTGGTCAGATTTTCTTGTTTGTTCCTGTGACTGTTAGGAATTCAAGGTTTTTGTCTTTGTCCACCTGCCTCCTCCTCCTGCCTGTGTTTAGGTCCTGATTCAACTCACCGTCCACCAAACATGACCTCCTGTGAATGTTTGTACGTTCTGTCCTGCTCCTCAAAAATCTTAGCAGTGATTGTAACAGCTTTTATCTGCCTTTTATCTAAATCAGAGTTATTTTAAAATAAAACCAGGGCTTTCATCTAAATCAGGGGTGCCCAAACTTTTTTCCCTGAGAGGGCCAAATTTAAAATCTATCAGAGGGCTGCGGGCCAAATGAAAACACATAATTCATGAAATGCAAATCCATCTTTAAGTAAAGTCCATTTATTTAATATACAGTTATTTAACCTTTGATTCTGAATAAAGAACATTACAGAACACAAAATATGACAAATAAGTTATATATATATATATATACAAAGTAAGAAATTAAAACACATGTCAAAATTATGGCATTTCAGTGTGTATATGTATATGTAGTGCAAAATGTAAAAAAAAATGCATGTCCAACAGCAACACAACTTAACAGCAACAATAATTTGAACATAAATAAACAGTCCCATACATATGGTAGTTAATGGGCCGACTTATCCATTTAACATTAAAGTCAACCTGTACCCTGTATACATGGTTTTGTTCCACCACATGTGGTGGAACGACAAATAAAGAACCTTGAATCAATGGGTGGAATGGCTGGTGAGAACACATTGATTATTCAAAGGAAATCTTAACACATTAACGAGGACAGCTTGGCGGACCAACTTTGGCCCGCGGGCCCCACTTTGGGCACCTCTGATCTAAATGTATAATTTTCTTATACCACAGTCACCCAACAGACATGGAGCTGAATCATTATTCCTTTGTACCTTGCTAATTGTCTTAATTCTCCTTTTTCTGTGTGCTGAAAAAAAATGCATTGTTTTTTTTAATCCTCATGTTTGTTCATTGTTTTACTTCTTTGTTCATTCAGCTAAAATCACAGGAGACCCAATCAGAGCCAAATTATAATTCTAAACATTACCAAATGAATTAATGGATGTTGTGTTGTGGAACAGTTTAAAACAACTAAGTGAATCATAAAAAAAGTTGAAACAAAGTTTATAGATTTTTTTAACGCATTTGCTTTATATTTTTAATTATTGTTTTAATATTTTTGGACAATTTAAATTTATTATGAATAGATAATACCATTGCTTTGGCGTGTATTTGTGTGTGTGTGTGTTTAAAGTAAGATGTAAGCTTATATATAAAGTTTTTATGATTTTTTTTCTTTATTTTCTTTTAGAAAGGAGGGGAGGGCCGCTTGTAAGCCCATTTTGGTTTTTATCTTTTCCTTTATGTGTATTGTTTCTTTTTTATGCAAACAATAAAATAACAAAAATTAAAATGCCTCATTAATCAGTCTTTCATATTATGTCTGCCTAACAGACATTATGGCTGCCTAACAAAGGCTTAAATTCCATAAATTTGTAAAATTTTACTGTTGTGATGAAGCTGTAAAAAGAAATACTGCATTGTTGTGCATATTTCCAGTCTTGTTTGAAGTTATTGCATGAACTGCCTTTATGCAAACAAACAGTAAATACATTATAAGTGCTTGCACTTTTTACACACTTTGTTGCTTTGTGAAGTTCACCTTTGCTTTCAATATTTATGGGGGGAGGGGGGGGGGGGGGTTGTACTTCATTCACATTTACCCCCTAATTTTCCTTTAATTTATTTCACAAATCAATCAAACCCATTATCAGAGTCATGAGAAGCTAACCTGTATGTGCTCAGGTGGTACTTCCTGTCACAGATCATGTGAGGCGTTCTGGAGAGGATGGCGTTACGGAGGATCTTCCCGGCAGAGAGGATCTTCTCAGAAAGACCCTGCACATAGAAATGCAAGTTTAATCATCACAACAGCAAGAGTCCGAAGGAGCTCTACACACAAAGGATGGATGTGTACCTGAGCTGTGCACCTTGGCTGGACTTTGGCTGGACTTTCAAGGAAAGACTTCTGCAAAACAAAATGAGACGGGAATAAAATGGAAAGTCATTGAAATGTAATAAAGACACTGGAGGACCAAAGCATCTCAGACAAATATGCTTTTCATCTATCACATTTTAATTAATCCATCATCTTCTAATTTCCTTCAAGTTATTTATTTTGAAACTCCTGTTAATTTTTTTTTATTAGTCTCATATAGTCTATGTGAATGTGTGATATCTATTTTATTTTAGTTTTTCATCGTTTCTCCCACGGAGGCCATAAGCTGCAGGACTTTGACCTTTAAAAAGCACTTTGCTTGCCTCAGAAAGCGGTGCAGCTCATGCATTTATGCAAAGGTTTTAAAGCCTCATCTTTTATTTACAAAAAATGAGTTCACTACATCACCACAGCATAAGGGCTTTTTAAATAACTTTAAATGTTAAAGTAAATTAAAGCTCCGTTTATTTGTTAGTTACATTAAAGGCTACAATTTTTTTTTAAAAACTTAACAGAAATGTGTTGTGACTGAACTCCAGGCGTCATACATCTGCAGCGTTATCAGCCAGGAAATGGCTGCAGGACAAAGGTGGGACAGGAACTGATGTGGACGGAGACAAAACTCCAGCCACCGTGTTTATACAGAAACTAAATTTAAACAAAATGTCGTTCTGTACCTATTCTTATCCACTGATAAAGAACTTGGACAAGATACAGAAAAATGTCAGACAGGTGAAGCAGAGTGCACGACACGTGAGCTCATGGTCTTTATTTCTTCTGGGCTTTCATTGTAAGAGCTACACAAAGTATTAAGCTGTGTAGTTTTGTCTAATGTGTTTTTCTGAAAGGTTATTTACCTTATTTGGATGCCTAGAAACTGAAACAAGCTCATTGTTGGTTATGCTCTCCTTTTCTGGCATTCCTGGAAAAAGAAATAATAAATACTGTAAATAAAAAGAGAAAAAGACTAAATAAGACAAACAACAAATGTTGCATGATTCTGATTTAATACAACAAATTTTTGATTAAAAAAAAACACTTTAGACCCAAAACACCAGCATTTTTTGCAGTAAATCAAATTAATTTCAAACTTACTTTCTAGCTAAGTATATCAACACATCAGCTGTTATGTCAGTTTTTTTTAAAGTATATGAGAAAACGAAACAATAACCACGTTCATCTCTGCATCAAGCACTTTTTTTTTTTTTTGCTTGGTTCGTATTACAATTCCTCATTTTTGTGAGCTACAATAAACTGTTTTTCCTTAAACTGAGTTGAAATTTCAAGTAAAGGTTCATGAAAACCAAATTAATAATTTACAATTTGAACCAATGTGGCTGTTTTAAAGTAAACACAGAGACAATCAGTGTTTTTCTTCACACAAAAAAAGTTTTATTGCAATAAAACTTTCATTTTGTGCAGCTATCATACTACCAACTTTTTAAAAAATCCAAAACATTTTATTTTAGTGGAATTTTTTTTTTCTAGAAATACAATTTGAATTATTTTAAAGGATTGTGGCATACAACACGTTTGAAACATCATTCTCAGTTAATGTAATTTTGACTTTTAAGATTATTTTCTTGCCATTCTTACATTTAACAGATTTTTAACACATAAAACAGAAGAAGCAAAAAAAAACTCAAATAAAAAAAATAATAACTCCGAGGTTTTTTGTTAAACTGTGAGTGAAATAAACTGTTAAGAGTCTGACTTCAGTCGCCTCATTCATGAAGAGTCATGTGGCTTCATGTGCTCCATCCATCAAAGTGTCACATCTGTTCAGTCACATCAGCAGCATGCACAGTGGGCATGTAAAAATGAATTCAAGCCAAGAGTTTTGTCCAAAAACAAAATCCGATGCGACTGTTTTAAAGCTGGACTATTTCATAGTGGAATAAATAATTTAAGACTTTAAAAGTCAGCATAAATTTTGAACACCAAAGAGCTGTAAGCGAGCAGGAGCGTAACTGACTGAGCTGTTAAAAACTGGTCGAATTTATTTAATCACTACTGCTTCACCGAGCTGCTTCAGACGGGAGAGTGCTGTAATCCAAATCCAAATGAGCTTGTCTGCATGTACTGCAAAAATAATCTCCTTTACGATGTGGCTCCAAAGCATGGCAAAACCTAAAGCAGAATCTTTTACAACCAATTCTAAAAGATCAAATCCTTAATTGGGTAGAACAGATGATAAAATATAGATTTTTGCACAGGTGAAACAGAAAAAGCCATCTTTGTGTTAATCAGTCATAACAGCATACAGCAAACTAACATTTGTTAACCCAGCAGATTCTGGATTGCCTCACTGCTCTTCATCATTTTTATGATCTATGACAATAAATCAAGTTACAGTGATTCCCTGCCTGAGCAAGGCCAAGCCAATATTGAGTTAACGTGCAAAGCATGAATCAGTTTTTATCAAAATGTTAGAAGAAAAACAGGATCACACTGAAATTAGGACGTGAATATTACAGCACTGAGTTCTCTTTAAGAACAAGAAATGCTTGTGAATATGTTAAACAACTAAAAAAAACTCCATTTGTGTTGGATGTTTTTTCTTTCCATTTAAAAATGTAACTATAATTTTAGCTACTCTGTTTTTTAACTGCATCTTTTTTTTTATTCAAACATTTAGAACAGATGCAAAACATATAAAAAGAGACTGTTAGCTATAATGTAATTTTGCCATGTTTGTCATAAAATCTTTGAAGAAGCATTATTTCTCTGCCTGCCTGGATTTTTCCTATTTGATGGAGGTCATTTGGGAGCCCTGCTCCAGCAGCTCTGCTGGTTTCCACGAATTAAAACTCTTGACATTATAATAATCTGCTTCTTGCATGCCTGCCTTTGGGTTCTTCCAGCACAACTCATAACAAAAAACTGGCACCTCCAGTGAAGCTAAATGGAACAAGTTTTGTAGTTTTACTCAACTGCCCTATAGAAAAATCAACAGCTGCATCCAATTCAATTCATTTCAATTCAGTTTATTTATATAGCGCCAAGTCACAACAATAGTCATCTCAGGGCACTGAACAGAAACATTCATATATAAAAATAATAATTTAACATTATTTATTTGAGGAGTAGACTGCTTTGAGTTTAACTTCATTGCAGACTCTAATCTTGAGCAAGCATGAAGGCGACAGTGGAAAGGAAAAACTCCCTCATGAGGAAGAAACCTTTAGCAGAACCAGGCTCAGCAGCCATCTGCTTCAACCGGCTGGGTTTGAGAGGAACAGATACACAATAGCAGGTCAAGAGTCACATGTTAAGATAGAAATAGTATCAAATGAAAACTATTCAATTTTAACAATTCGTTAAGGAAATGAGGTCAATTTGTCCTTCAGTAGTCTAAGCCTATAGCAGCATAACAAGCCAATCCTAATTATAGGATTTATCAAAAAGGAAAGTCTTAAGCCCCGTCTTAAAACTGGACAATGTGTCAGCCTCACAGACATAAACTGGAAGTTGGTTCCACAAGAGAGGAGCCTGATAACTGAAAGATCCTCCTCCCATTCTGCTTTTGGAAACTCTAGGAACCACAAGTAAGCCTGCAGTCTGAGAGCAAAGTGCTCTGTTAGGAAAATATGGAACAATACAATCTCTAGTATAAGATGGAGCTAGGTTGTTGAGAGCTTTGTAGGTTAGAAGTAAGATTCAGTTCTTAATTTAACAGGGAGCCAGTGGAGAGAAGGATCCACAGATTAGCAGCACCTTTAGGTTACTTACTGTCAGAACCACCACTGCTTTCCATCACGCCATATGGTGGGGCAAGTAGTCCAGCCATGAAGTGATGATATTTCTACAAAAACAAACGCAATAAATTAAAAATAAACACAAGAACAAATCACAGGTCTACAGTTACTAAAATCATCTCATAAAGAGAAAAGACAAAGCCATTTTTCTCTTTTCCTCCCAAAGATTTGTGTCTCCCACTGTCTCTTATTAGTCTAATGAAGGCAGCAGCCCACAGGGGAAACAATTCTCTCCATCTGTCATCGTGTCTTCTGGCTGTGAAGACAAGAAAAAATCAGCAAGTGTTTGGGATATTTGTTGCTATTTTATCCTAATTAGTTCCAACCCTAAGCATGGCTCGCAGACGAAACAAACAACAAATCTGAAAATGCAAAACTGGCATTAATAACGGCGCTGTTCTCTTTCACCTCGTTTCTTGTTCACTTCTTGGGCTTTTTAACTTGTCATCTTGTATTTCTCTTTGCTAATATCTCAAACTGGGCAAACTAGAAAGAGCCAAAAGCTAAACAGAGCAAAGAAAATCAAAAGGTCTGCCTTCGGATCCTCCTGTGCCCAGCAGCAGCAGCGCAGATATTACATAACGACATCATGCTGCTCCCGTGCATTCATGCAAATGTCATGATTTTATGACGCTATTGCAACAAGATGTCTAATCAAATGCAACCACTGAGCCACAAATAAGACAAGATCATGGGTACAAATTTTAAGACTTTTAAATAATTCAACAAAAATAAGGTTGCACAAACAAACAATATGAAACTCTGGACACCCTGGATGTTAACAGCATAGTTTCCTTTGGGAATATTTACAGAATTATCTATTTACCTTAATATTTTCATGTACTGTATTTTTCGGCCTATAAGTTATGTTTGGTTTTTTGGTTTTTTTTTTTTTTTTTGCATAATTTGCATGCCCTGCGACTTATAGGCTGAATCAACATATTTATGGATATTTTTCTCGTATAAACCAAATTTTGGCGGCGATATGACCGTTTTCATTCATTCTGACTGAAAATATTGAACACTACCATTTTCAGCCACTAGATGGCACTCAAATAGTATGACATGCCGTTGTATCATGTAATAGGTAAAAGTGGCTATTAATGACACAATCGGCTTGCCAAAGCCAGCTGCCGTCGTCTGCCTGGAGCAAACGAATCAGCTTCATTTTGCTTCACCACCCCAACAAAATGCATCTGATTTGACTGTCAAAGTGCATTTATTAAGGAAAGTTCGACTGAGACACACCTTTGCTATAAAGTTGAGCTAACAAATAATTGTTTTAGGTGGTTATCTTGTTAAATTTCGAAGAAATGAAAAGCGAGTCGCCCTCTGCACGTTCATGTTTCCGTGTATCGGCTTTTGAAAATGCAGCTGATTTGACCACTGGAGTGCATTTATTAAGCAAAAATTAGACTGAGACACACCTTTACTATCATTTTGAGCAAACAAAAAATTGTTTTTAAGTGTTAAACTTGTTCAATTTTTGTTAAAGTCCTCCTGTGCACGCTTGCGCGGCCGCCCATCGATTTTTGGCACAACACCGACCCACATTTCCGGTTGTCAGCGGTGACGTGTAACAAACGCGACGAGTCAGCGGTGACGCATAATAGATGCGACGTATACGGCGAAGCGACATATTTATAGATTTTTCCACTTTATTAGACATATTTGGACTGATGCGACTTATAGGGCAGTGCGACGTGTACGGCAGAAAATATGGTAATACCATGATAACATATAACATGATAAATATATGGGTAAAATGTGAGAACATTTTGCTATAAAATGAAAGAGGTTTTGTTAGAAACAATATAATTTACCAACTATTTCACAGTATTTTTTTTTTTTTTTTGAGTGGCATCAATAGAATTCGATAAACCGATAATAAGGATAGCTCATTATAAATTTGAAATCCATTTTGTAGTGAATACTTCAGCATTTTTACAAGACGTGAAAAATTACACAAGTTAATCTGAGTATTCCTTTTGATGAGTTGAGATTTTACACCACTCTAATATTCAATCATGTGCAAAATTGTATTTTCTGACTGAAATTTGCCCGGTAGATTGATGACTGGAGACTACCGAAGGATAGACAGCAAACACAAAGTGATTATGTGCTGCTGCAGCTCTGCTCAAGTCAATAAAAAGCCGATTGAGAACCACTTAGTGCCACGCTAATAACCTTTACCTTTTTATCTTCTGCTCAGTGGAGACTGAAGGAAAGCAAGGACTCTAGATGTGTTCCTCTGATGCCAAAGGACTCGTGGTCATGTTTTAAATCTAATTCTGCTCTCTGATGTCACTGAATCACTTCAGATGCCGCCATAGGGAACCTGAAGCCCCAAAAAGACATCAGTGACCTCATATTTTTTTAAATGAGAGGTGACCTGCTGCTGATCGAAACTCATCGTGTGAGATTGTTATATGCAAACAAAAGATTGAATCATTCAAATTTAATTAATGCAAACACACTAAAGCCATCAGAGCCAATTTAGCAGCCCTATTAATCTTTGTTAACAATTATAGGTTTTAGGATTAGGGAGGGAGCACTTTAAACTGAAGAGCGCGAATGATCTCAGACTGAGACAATAAAGCCTCTGCTCCCTCGAGACAGGACCTGGTGCTTTGTGGAGATTTAAAGAAAGAGTAGGTTCAGTGTTTAGTGTACAACAAGCATACTGGTTTTGTTTAGTCAGTATTGATGATTTTGCTTCTTGTGATATAGAACCATCACCTAAATAATTTTTTAAACCTTCTAAAATAGGCAAATATTAGATCTAACGTCCCTGAGTTCAGCTTTAAACGGAGATCCTATGTTGAGAAAAGATGGAGATACAGCCATTTTTGGTCTAAACTTTAAAATAACTTTACATAAGATTTCATGTGACAACATGAAATTTCACTCAATCGCTTAGCCCTTAAGTCTGATAGGAATTTTTTTTCGCCTCCAATTCCTACATGTGTCAGTTTATCACTTTTATTGTCTGTCCAAACAGGTCTCACTTGTAAATGAGTCTTTGAGGCTCAATGTGACTTATCTGTTTCAATAAAGGTTGAATGAATGAATGAAAAGTATGTGTTGGGGCTGACTCTCAGCTGCTACCACACTAAAGAAGTAGCTCAGTACTGACTGAACCATTGTTGTGTTTGCTTAAGATGGTTTGCTGTGCTGGTCATCTTGGATTGAATTGACCCCCAAAGGTCAGTGAGTTGTAGATGTACACGCAGTGACCAGTTTCTGAAAGTTTCACTAAAATCTGTCAAGTGACTCGGGGGATAATTTGCTAACAGACAGATATGGTTGACTAAAAAAAATATATATATTCAAGTTTTAAATAAAGTATGTTCACACTCAAAGCATATGATGAGAATGGCTGTCAGCTTTTACCACACCAAAATGTAGCTCTGTATCTTTAAATCAACTACTATAGCTGGTTTTTGTGTTCAAGGCTGATTAGTTAAAGTGGCCAGAGTCAGACTTTTTTTTAAATCTTTTAGTTGTTACTGGAAACACAAATGTGCTGGGACTCAGGCAGCCCTGAAAAAGTCTAATATGGACTGGGAATAACAATGAATTAGACTGAATGAAAGAGGTCCGTCAGGTAATCCTGCAAAGTTTGACATCAATCATTAATGTGGCTCAGAAAGTTTTCTTTGGTTAAACCTCATTACTCAGACAGATTTGATCCTATTTTTCATGATACATTAAGACAGATACAAAACTTTACATTTCACTACATTAAAAAAACAATAGAAAAACTAACTTTCCAAATATAAACCTTCAACTTTAAGTGAAACCTTAAAAACAGCATAAAGGCATAAATCTTGTGATTTTCCAAGACGTCACATTTGGCGTACGCGCTGAGAATGACTTTCAGCTTTAACCACACCATATTATAGCTCAATACCTTTAAAACTGATTGAATTAATAATTTATTTTTCAACAAAATTGTGTTCAGCTGTGGTCACTTACTGATTGTTCAACCGATACAAAACTAAAAAAAAAGAGAAACATTGCCGTTTATGTCAATAGGGAAGGATTTGTGTGCTCAATGGGTAAATTCTCAGAACTAATCTTTGTTTAGTAAAAGACTGATGAAAATTCTGATTATTAAAATGCTTCATTGTTGCACTTGACTGATCTCAGCTGCAAAATGTTCTGAGTGAAAAAATGTAATTTTCATCCTAATCTCCACAATTTTTATCCTCAAGGGGTAGATTCAGGACTGTGTGCAGTCTTCTGTTTTCCTCTAATAAAATTCTGTAATTTTGAGTATTTATTTGTCAATTAACAGCAACAAAAAAGACACATACATCCTAAAATTTACATCTTATTTAACCTATTTTACCTAACTGAAGCCATCTACCAGTAAAACTGTGTAAACAAGTTCAAAACACGTTGTTTATTTAACTGATTTACACAAAGAATATCCTGTAAAGAGTCGACTTTATGTCCAGGATAAAGTCAGATCATCTGCGTCCTCCCACATCTCAGTTTAAAATCAGTCGTTCATGCTCGAGTATCTTTGTGCATCGTGGAGCATGAACAGATTACATAATCTATGTGGTAAAAACTGTTCTTTAAGTGTTCATTCTGAACGTTTGCAGGCATATTTCATGACACTTGGGGAAAACAAGTTGAAGAAAACACTTTCAGGTGTTTGATTTTTATCTTTGTTCGGCTGTTTCTGTTAAATTTGACCAGTTCAAGTTTATTAAATGAGAGGAAATACAATAACTTAAACATCTGAACTGCATTGGAAACAACGAACGTCCAGAAATCAAAGGTCAGCTGAAGTTCTCACGCAGCAAATTCATTTTAACATTAAAATAGAGCAGAATTACCTAAAGATGTTTTGAGAATCTCACACAGCCAGTTGTTGAAGGTAATGTCCACATCCTAATCCAGGAGATCACAAAGACTCCAAGCATGAACATACAGTTTTTAGTCTCCTATAGGATCACTAATCTCGTGGGTCCAACATAATCCAGCTGCACCTTGGAGCGTCTCTGAGAGCAGAGTGAGCAGAGAGCTGAGCATG